ATGGGCTCTATTCTTGTTTGGGGATTTTACTTTAATGTAAGAGCAGGGAAAATATTAATATAAAGTAAAAATGATTCAGCTGGTTAAAATGAATATTTTATATTGAAAATGTTTTTAGTTGGTTTTGCTACTTGAGATAAAGGCCAAGCTAATAGACTGCTCTGCTTCATCTACTTAAAATTGAATTTGCTCAGAAAATGCCCTTGGGAAATACAATGTAGTGGGGAAGTAAAAAGATGCATATTACAGAGAATAACAAGGGTTATGTCTTACAACTACAAGGGCTGCTATGGGAACAAGAGTTCCTGGATCGAGAAGGTGGGAGGCGGTAGGAACATCAGGAGGAGGTGATGACGGCACCATATGACTTCCGTTTGGATGGAGGTTTCTAACGGTGCAGTACAAGGTACCAGAAAGGCATTCAGCAAACGTCCTGGCAGCTTGAATCTGGAGAGGAGATGGGAGTTACTTGGCAGAGGATCAGGGTCCAAACAGATTCCCACAGGTTTCCTCAAGGGGCCAATTCTAATCATCTCCACAAGAGCAAGGCTTTGTATCTGTTGTGTTCCCTCCTATATTCTATCCTCAGCACCTAGAATGGATTAGCACTAAATAAATATTTTTTCAATGTATGTATAATTAGGTACCTTTCCTCCTGGAATCTACTCTTTCTATCTTGATTAGAAGTGACACCCAATAACCTAGGAGTTACTTTTGATCCCAGCCTCTCTCCATCCACCACAGCCAATCTGTCCCTTCCTCTCATTAAATCTACTTAAAGCATGTTTGTAGAATAATTTTCCTCAAGACATTATTCCATATCCAAATACAGTGAGATATAATTTAGCAGTAAATGTTAATAAAAAGAAAACTTAAGGATTGGTAGGCCAGAGCCAGATCAAACAGATCTCAAGAGTGAAATGTGTACATTGCTTCTCATGGGTGCAATGATCTCACTTCAGCAGTTTGAAACAGGTCGTGGCATCATGCTGCATATATTTTCACCACAGAAATCAGCATATTCCACAAATCACAGTTCTATTTTTTGTTTATATAGATCCAGCTTACTAACATACCACTGGTTTTAGCCCCCAGAACATTCTTTAAGAGTCTGTAACATGAAGAGGTCTCTAAAAAGTGAGTTCAATATTTGAACTTCTTTAAGGAAAAAGAATTGGATTTGTTCTGTGTGGTCTTCAAGATTGAACCTAGGGGCAGCAGGTAAAAATTTTGGGGTGACAGATTGTGTTCAGTGTTGGGAACTTCCTAGTACAAGAAGTGGCCATTCGCCTTGGCAGAGACAGCAGCTGTTGCTGGGGTGTTGGCCCAGTCCATTTGTGGAGGAGATCGACCTTAAGGGCAATAAGACACATGTTTTAAGGACACCAACATAGGTAAATATTGTCCATCAGTTAGGATTCATGCAAGAGAGTGGTCCTGTGATAGAACTGTGGCAATAATGAGGTCCCATCCTGGTCTAACATACCAGACCTTCACCTCTCTCACTGTGGGAGTGATGGGTTGATAGGTAGGGCTACTGGAGGTGCATGCACTGGCCACAATAATTAGACAAGACTCCCAGTAAGATGCTCTTACCTTCCAGCCATTTTGGGTACATTACCATAATATGCAGGAGGCCAGATCCAGGCCTTGTCCTCAAGGTGAAAGAAGGGCAAGCCGCCATCACTGGTCCACGTATAGAAATGTCTAAGGCCACGTAGTCTCCAGGCTTCTGTGGGATTCATCACACGATGCACCCCTGCGGGGTTCTGCTGACTTCTCCAAAACTCAGAGGCAGTTCTCACTGATGGCTACAGCCCACATTGTCTTCTGCCTTGGACCAAGTCATTTGCTTCATAATTCCCTGGGGAAGCTTAAGGCAAATGACCAGCAAGCTGCTGCCAGAGGTCCCAGCCACTGTCATCATCAGTCACATGGCCATCCAGCTCACAGAACCTTGACGGGTCTCTCTCACTTAAGGCCTGTATGGCCTTGACTGCCCACTTTGCAATGGTGGAGGTAAGTGCACATTTCATCCCACCTGATGCCCTCTCATGCCAAATGGCATAAAGGCCCAGAATTTGTGTGAAGTACAGGATAAACACTTTTCAGTAGCCTACAAGAAAAAAACCACTTGCAATAATGCCACAGTTATATTTAAGAGAACCAGAGGTAAGTGTAACAACAGACAAAGGATTAGGTGCCCTATTCCAAAGGGATTCAGGCTTGCTCCACTCTGACAGCAATACCCCTGCAACTATTTATAACAATGGGGGTCCAAGGAAACTGCTCAGGGTCACAATAAATCAGGGAGCATTCAGCTCGTGTGTCCACCAGAGCTAGTACACACTACATATTCACTGAGACCAGTGATTTGCTAATTCAGCATGTGGCCTCTGGTCCCCACCATTCCACCCAATGTGGGGGCCTTGACCACCCCAGTCAAACTGCACCACCCAATTGTCTTCCTGTGGGGGTGGGGGCCCAGGTGAGATCTGAGAACTCTCCCACAGGAAGTCCTGCAGACACATGGGCTGGACATGTAGCTCTGCCCCCATTTCCATGCGTTGTATCTCAGAGGCCAGAACTGATGCTCCAGCTTTAACTGCTGCCATAGTAATGTCTTATTGGGCTGTCCATCTACTTACTCCTTTACTCCCCTCACCTTTTTTCAAATCAACCCACATCTGGGTGCTAGAGACCTTCCCAGGGCCCTTTAAACCCTTTCTCTCAGCAGCAGACTGCATTTCCTTCCAAGCTCTCATTGTCTCAACCTCTCCTAGATCTTCTATAGAATGAGTAATCTCATTTATCGGTTTCCCTAAGTGAGGGGCAAGAATAATCACTAGGGACCCAAGAGAGATGGGGAAACTTTTTGAAGCATCACATTTCTCATTCCCACCGCGAACAGCTCCTCATTTGGACCCTGATGGTCCATATCGTAGATGATATTTTTCATGCCCAACTCCCATGAACACCTTTCGGAGCTCAGCACACATCTGCCATCTAGTGGTGAAAGATGGCAAATCACCCTGTCTGGGCCACATGGGCCAGAAGTGCTGCAGTCACCCAGGCCAGAAGAGTGTGGTTCCCTGGAGTTTGATGGACATCTTGTAATCTCTGCCGGAGAGGGAGGGGTTTGTCATTAGGGAAGCCAGTTTCCCCACTTCTGACCCAGACAAAACAATTCCATTTATTACTGAATCCCCAAAACACAAAAGCCATGTGGGCAGAGGGCTTCTGCCAAAAATGGAAGCTCAAACTCACCTGCTCAGCCTGGGTGTAGGGGTGGAGCAGGAGTGCTTCGCAACCTGGGAAGGGGGCTGCAGCTCTCACGGAAAGCCTGGGCTTAGAGTGAGGCGAGGCCACCATGAAAATAAGCCCTTTCCTTCCCAACTTTTTATCCCTGCCTTTCTTTGTCTCTTTGAATTCATAGTGAACTTGCCCAGTGAAGAGAAACCCCCCTTCTCCCAGAGCTACAGGGTGATAATGTGAAAAGTTGTCAAACATTGATCTGTAGCAATTTTTGCAAGTATATGGCAAGTATAATTATCCTTAGGGACATACATATGTCTTCCTAAGTTCAAATTAGACTTTGGGAAGTTGAGCCATAAAGTCTGAACTTGTCTTAAGCCTCTTCCATGCATGCCAAACTGTTTTCCCAATTTGTACACAATTTACCTCCAAGCAATTTATGAAAATGCCTGTTTCACCACATCTTCACCAGCACTGGGTTTTATCAACTTAAAAATCTTTACCTATTTTGATGTGTGCCAAACATTATTGTTTGTTATCCTTTATTTGGTCTCTGTAAGGCTACAGTTATTTTTATAGGTTTGTTAATCAGTCTGTCTCCTAAGAATGCCCTATGATGGAAGAACTGCAGGGCAATACATCTGCAGGAAAGGGTATCCTTGTTATACAGTGGTAGGAGCTTAGTAGAATTGTTATACAGAAAGCAGAATTTGTAAGTGGTGGACTTGGCTATTTAGTGGAGGGAAATTTCCAGGTAATTGTGAGAGGTGCAGCTCATTTTCTTCTTGCTGCTTATCCAAGAGGAAATCCAAAGATGGAGGGGAGAATTAAGCAAAACAGAACCAGGATTGATGATTTCGGAGATTCTTAGCCTATTCATATTGTGAAAGAAGTTAAAATTAGGTGATTCAGTCAGGAAAGTGTCCACTGAACCATCATAACTTGCCAACTGGGCGACCTTGAGCATGTGTCTAAACTTCTCTGAGCCTCAGTTTCCTCATCCCTGAAATGGGGATGGAGGTATTAGTACTAAACCCTGGCGTCCTCCACGGGGAAGCTGGGAAGGACTTTTCCAGAGGAGTCTGGATTCTGGAGCCCCAGGGAGGGGAACTGGGGTCACAGGCAGGGGGAACCTTGGACGGGAGATGACAGAATTTCATACACCCCACCAGGTCTGGGCAACGTCCCTCCCCTTTTCCCTCAGCTGAGCCAGAAGCAGAGCTTGGGTGGGGGAAAAGGGGAGACACCTACTCAGCTACTCAGTGGAGGCCTGAGGAGGGAGCCTGCTTGGGGATGGGGTGGGGGGCCCTGCAGCACTGCGTCCCAGCCCGCTGAAGCCCATGCTGCAAGGGTGGTACACTGACCTTCCTCTGCCAGTCGCCTACCCTACTGCAGAGGCATCGCCATTAATCACCATGGGGAGGGAGGGGGGATGCCTGTTTCTCCCACCTATGGGGCCGTGCAGCATGCTCCCTACCCCCACCCTGCCTGGAACGCCTCCAGACCCCCAGGGCACCCTGTCCCCCAGTCTGTCGCCCTGGGTCTCTGAGTTTCTCTGTCTGCATCTGTCCAGTCTTCCCGCTTTTCTGCTTGTGACTGTGTATTGACACCTGCCCTCAGGGTGGCTGGTGTGGTGGCCTGGGGTTTGGTCTTGGGAGCTGTTAGGTCAGTCCGGGCTCTGGAGTATCTTTCTACAATTGTCGATCTGTGTGAATGTCTGGACGACACCCTATAGGTTGGGAGTCTGTGGATGTGACAACATGGAGGCTGTGGCTGTCTGGCTGACATCCCACAGCCGTGAGTATGCAGGGCGCGTCTGTGTGTCCCCCGCAGGCTGTATGAGTCTGTGCTGGAGGCCTCCTGCCGGAGGGGTGTGTCTGAAACCCTGCGCCAGCCATGTGCGGGGGTCCCTGCGCATACAGGTGACACCCACAGGCTGTGTGTCTGCGGCATGCTGTGGGTGCTTGGGTGCAACGCGCCAGCCTCTGCATTGTGTGCCTTAGTGTAGGAGGCCCGGGCAGCCAGCGTCCCTGCAGTGTGTGTGTGTGTGTGTGTGGACGCGCCCGCACGATCCGCCCCCTCCACAGCCTGCCCGACCAGGGCCCAGCAACCCACCGCCATGGCGCCTGGCCGCCCGCCCCATGGCGGGGCCAGGGAGGGAGCGGCAGGTAGGGCCAGAGCGCTGGGTGCCTGCAGCGTAGGGGAGGGCTGGCTTGGCGGGGACACCTGCGGGCCGGCGGGCAGGGCGCGGCCGCCCCTCCCTGGGGGCCGCCGACTCCTGCCTCTGGCCCTGCCTGGCCGGGAACCTGGTGGGCTGGCTCAGACGCCAACCTCTCCTCAGCCCGCAGCGCCGCGGGAAATCGCCACCCCATTTTCCTTTATGCCCGGGGAGTTTTTGCGGTGGTGCGTGGGCTCCCCGCGAAAGATGCAAGGTCTGGGAGTGCGAGGGCGGAGTCTGCCCAGGAGGGGCTCAATTAGAACCCCGCCCGCCGCCACCTACCCACCGTGGCCTGGGGCAGATTTGGCACGGGGCGCAGCTGGGGACGCCAGGTGGGGGGACTCCGCATGGGCGCCGAGGAGTTGGCGGGGAGGGTGGGTCTCCTGGGCTTGGGTCCTCCCCAGGCCAGGCCTCCGCCTGGCCCCTGGTCGGGTGGGAGGCTGGAGCGCGTGACCCAGAGCGCCTGACCAGATTCCGGGGGAGAGTGGTTTGGGGCAGGGGCAGCAGCCTGGGTCGGGAAGGGGCGCCTGGCGGGCCCTGCAAGGTGGGTGGCCCCCTGCCGTGCCCAGGCCAAGCCAAGCGCAGTGTGCTAGCTAGTGGAAAATGGTTTCTGAGGAGCGGGTGGAGAGTGTGCAGCTGTGTCCGCGGGAGCCCGGAACCTGGAGTCAGGCCGGCGGCCACACCCCCAGTCCCAGGGACTGCCACCGAACCAGCCCCTGCTCTGCAGGCAGGACCCCGGCTGGGAGGAAGCAGGTGCACCCTAGGCCAGCCACCATCCCTGACTGTATGTGAGGGTTCTGGTGGTCTGTCTGCTGCCCGTGTCAGGTAGTATCCACACTGAAGGGGTGCTTTGGGGGCTCCTGTGCTCCCAAAGTGTCAACACAGGATTTCCAGGATGCTGTGTGTACCCTGGGTGACCACGGGTGTCCCCTGTGAGTGTGTAGTGGTTAGGGAGTTGCCCATGAGTGGCGAACTGTATCGTGTGGTGTGGCTGCATTCCAGGTGACAGTGGGATGTCACAGTGTGCATGTGACTGGTGCTGAGTGACTATTCTTGGGGATAGGTCTACACTCTTATCCTCTGAGTTCCTTTTTTTTATACCTGGGCTACTGGGGGGCAGGTGCTTCCTTTCCCTTGCCAAAGCTCTGTTCTCTATCTCACCTCCACTCTTTCACCTCTACTTCTCCCTAACTGGGGGTCCACCATCTGCACAGACTAAAGGGGTCCATGCTAAAGATTCTGGCATGGTGTGGCTCCAGGACACAATCACATCTCCCACCAGGGGCTGCTAGTGTACAAGGACCTGCCCCAGAGGGGGACTGGGTGGTGGGTGGCCTCCCTCAGAGGATCAAGAAGTCCTGAGGGATGGGCAGTTACAGAAGCTCAGGGTTAGGTTGTGGGGAGGGGTGTGCCAAAGAGACTCCCCTCACACTCTGTGCTCCAGGCCTGCCTCCCAGAGCTGGCCCAGGGTGGCCAGATATGGGGGTGGGGAGGGGAGGCAAAGTGTTGCTTTTTCCCTCCAGGGGAATCCCCACTGCACCCCACCCCCAGCCAGGGCACTTTATACGATTTTCTAAGTAGCAAATCCCTGAGGCCAGGCCCCAGTCTCTTCCATTTTGTTTAAACCTGCATCCCATTTGGGGAGGTGGTTTGGGAAGGGGAGGGAAAGTGGTCCCACACTGACACAGGGATATATCTGCACAACCCTGGGGGTCATATACTTTGGCAATCTCCCCACCCTCAGGCTCACTGCACACCCATTGCCAGCCTCAGACCCAGCACTCCCACCTGTGCAGTTAGACACACCTGGCCTGCCCTGCTCAGCGCTGGCCCAGTCCCACTTGTTGCCTGGTGCACAGCGGAACACGTTCGTCAAGCACACACTGTCATGGCTCACAGATGACATACAACCACACACAGACCCATGCTGACCCACAGACACATTCACAAGCTGCTACCTGAACTTGCAAAGGTGGAGACCACCCTGTTCTGCGCTCACCACCTCCTTGTCCCAGCTGCATCCCTGTAGGGCCCAGAGAGCCCAGCTCTGGGGGTGGGTGGGGAGGCTGTGAGGGAGCAGCAGGGCTGTGGTGTGCTGCATGTTATTTCATGTGTTCGTATGTGTGGGTGTGTCTGTGTATAAATCCAGGGAGGGATTCTGCTTCTGGGTGTGTGTATAGTTGTGAGTGTGTAATTGTGGACAAGTCTACATGCATTGTATTCATGGTTGTGCATGCACTTGTGTGTGTCAGTTTACATGAGTCAGTGTGTGTGTGTTACATGCATGCTGGGTGAACCTGTGTGCTCTTCTCTGAGTAAATACTACAGGCAGCGTGCAGGGAAAACTGTGTGTGTGTGCCTGTCTTTATGTGAGTCTTTGTGTGGCATATGTGTGTCTGTGCCAGCCCTGGTGTCATGTCTCACCTTCTCAAAACCCAGGAACATATCATCACTGTCTAAAAGCTCAGTTTCTCACCTGAAAAATGGAAACACACCAGACCCACATCTGCTGTGCATTCACTGGCCTGTCTGGACCACGTCCTCCCTTCTGTGAGTGTGGTAGCCATGGGGTCACTGCGCAAGCTCCCAGGAGCCCCGCCTGAGCTGCTCTGTGAGTTCCACCCACTGTTCAAAAGTTTGCTTTTTACTTACACAAGCCATTCATGAACATCTAAAGAGAGTAAAAAAAGTACTCATTAAAAAGCGGCCTTTCCTCCTTGCCCCAGTTTGGTGGGACTGCACTCCAGGAGTTGGGAAGGAGTTTGTTTCGGTGATGCAGGAAAGTCAGAGTGAAACCAAAGTCAAGAAAGCAGACAAGCAAGTTTATTACACTCTGTAATTACAGGCCTCCATCCTAGTGTCTAATGGCCCCAAATATTTGGGAAAGTTCTTTTCCTGAGGTTTGCAAGGAGTTTTTAGGAGGGATATTGTTATGGAAACAAGTGTTGATTGACAGGCTGGCAATGATATAAGCTGATTTTTATTGCACATGCTCTTTCCCAGAATTCTCTCTGATTGCCCATCAGGGGGGTTAAACTGCAGTGCAGATTTATTCTAATGACTTTATAATGAGGAAAAGCCACTTCGGGATGGCCCAGGAGCACTCCCAGTTGGACTCTAGCTTGTGGAATTGTCTCTGTGGTTTCAGTGCCCCTGCCAGGGATTTTCTGTGGTGGAAGCTCTCTGTAGACTCAGTTCTCTAGTCGCAGCAGCTCCATGGTCACCGCGACCTCTCCTCCCGCTTATCTCTGGCTTCCTGTCTAACATCCCTGCCTTTAGCAGTTTGGACCCAAATCACTGGGGAAGTGGGGCAAGAACTAGTCTGCCTGCTTCTTGTTATAGGACATTGCAGTCCTTTGGATCCAAAATGCTTGCAGTCTATCAGGATGGAGTAATTGCCAGGCAACCACACAGGTGGCCATCAGGGGTCCCATGAAGCTGGGGAAGTTGGGGTCTTCTTTTTTCAGCAAGGGTCTGAAGCCATGACAGAGGAGGATGTTGGTATTGATGGGCTTGAGTCTAGAAGAAATTAATCTAACTAGGAGGATCAATAAGCACGGCCTCAACAGCAGGGCTAGGAAAAGCATTAACAGGGGTCCAAAAAAGGGGGTAGCCTGGATGCCAAGTTCCAAAAGTGGGACCAAACTCCCCATGATTCTGAGAGCTGTGGATGAAACTGAGAGGCTGGATCAGCTGATTTCATTGCTGCCTCTCTGAGTACTCCTGATTGGTTTACATAAAGCAGCATTTTTTCATCAAGGAATGGACATAAGTCCCCCTTTTCTGCAGTGAGCAGGTCTAGAACTCACCTATTTTGTAGAATCTATGTGATTCTGCAGAGCAGCTATTATACTGACGATTTCTCCAAGGCTTTCAGTAAAGCCTTTGATATCAAGAAAGAACAGGCGACCCCTACTCGTTCACCAATACCTGACAGTAGTTCTTAAAGCTTGTGTTTGGAACTGGCACACATCACATTCACTCCACTTCATGGTAAAACAAGTAACATGGCCAACCAGACCTCAGAGGGACAGTCCTCTTGGTAATTCTGTGGTCGGATTCTCAAATACCAGTGGCTTACAAAAACAAAGAATTTATTTGCCCACCTGTATTACATGTCACCTGCAAGTTGAGGGTAGCTCTGATGGGCACTTGCCATGAATCTTCTTCATTCCAGGATCCAGGCCACAGAAGCAGCCCCTACTGGGACATGCCACTCTCAGGGAAGAGGACGCAGGAGCACGGGAGCTCATGGAAATGACAGCAGTCCCTGAGGCAGTTTGCATCCCCATGAAGATTGGAACAACCTGGATGGCTCCTATAAGTTCCTGGATTGATTTCCTATCACCTTTATGGATAGGTGGAGAAATCTGAATGTACAAGAGAAGGAGTTAAGAATACGGAATTACTATTCATTGAGTTGGCGTGAAATGCTATTGAAGGCCTATGGAAAATATCTTTTTAGAGATTCATGCTGAATATTTAGGGATATAATATCATGATATCTATAATTCACTTTAAAATATTTCAGCATAAAAATGGAAATTGATAAAATATACAGGGTGCAGATAATATTAACATGAAGATTCCAGAGATCATTTGTTTTGTACAGTACAAACTCAATATTTTTTCAAAAAATTCAGATGTTATGAAAAAGGCAGAAATAAAAAATAAAGAAATTTAGTTAGAATGAATAGAGAACAAAAATCCAACCCAAGAATTTGAGAAACCCCAAAGGCACCGAGCAGTGGGTTGGTCTGGGCACCTCCACCTCCTTGCTCTGTCTCGCCTCCCTTTCCCATCTGCTCTCTTCTCCATTTTCTCTCTCACACAAACATGTTCACATACTTTGGAAGGTCTTCATATCATCTAACCCCTTAATGTTTAAAGATATTTAATGATACCCCCAATCTTTTTAGCTCTTTGTGGTTTTCTAAGTGCTGTCATCTGCCATGTGGTTCTCAAACCTGCGAGAGAGGCTTCATGGGTAGGATGAAGAGGCTTGGAGAGGCTGTGCTCTCTCCTCAAGGCCCTGCCCCTAGGGAGGAGCAGAGGAGGCGCGAAGAGCTGGTTTCTCAGTGTCGAGTCAGGGGCCCTTTCCCAGACCACGCCCACATCCCTTCCCCTCTCCGCGGAGCTGCACTGCAGGGGGTTGGTGTCTCCCAGGCCCCCTGATCACACGGGTGTTCAGGACCCACTGACTCTTACAGACTCAGAGCAGTGCTTCCCAAAGTGCAGGGCCAGAACCACTAGCTGGTTGCTGAAAAGGGCTTAGTTTTCAGAACAGAACTACTGAATCACCTCAAGGAAGGGGACCTGAACTTCTTTTTCTAAATGAGCATTTCAGGTGACACTAATGTACCCTAAAGTGTGGGGCACACTTGCCTTGAGGCCAAGAAAGCAGATGGGCCAGTATTCCAGAGTGCCCTCTGGCTTCCCTCAGCCCTGTTGCAGCCTCCAACCCCTGTTTCTGTCTGGGAGGAGCCCCCGCCTGCTTAGGGAGGGGCTTCGGCAGGGCGGAGCGGCGAGCCTGGAGTTCCTCCCTCCTCCTCCTCCTCCTCACACCACAGGGAAGGTACGCTAGCATGAAGTAAGGGTAAACTTGATGTTTCTGTTCTGTTGTGGCAGATTAAGTGGCTTTTTTAATTTAACAGTTATTATAAAGATCTTTTCATATATAAGTGAAAACATTTTAACATCATATATGATAGAGTATTCCACTGATTTAATGGATTACATCATTTCTAAAACAGCTTTATTTGAGATATAAATCAGTACCGTTAAAATGGACTTCCTTAAAGTATACAGTTCAATAGTTTTGATCTATTAACAGAGCTGTGCATTCATCACCACAGTCTAACTTCAGGGAGTTTCCATCACCCCCAAAAGAAACTCTCATTTGTCTTTTCCCACAGTTACTGGTGGCCACTAGTCTCCTTTCTGTCTCTATGGTTTTGCCTCTTCTGTAATTTTTAAACAGAATCTCTACTGCTGAGTGTTTATGTTGTTCCTACATTTTTACCATTATTAACAAGGCTATGATGAACGTCTAATATATCCATTTCTATACTTTTGTCCAATTATATTCTTAAGATACATTTCTAGAATTAGAATTTGTTTAATCAGAAATATGTTCTTTTGTTTGTTTCCAAAGTCACAAAATGACATTGTTGAGGATACATTCTTCTCTTTGGTGTGCATGGAAAAATAGTCATATGGAGAAAATATTTGGTAATAATAACAATAAGAGAGAGAGAAAATGTATATTTTTTATCACACTTCTATGAACTTTGAGAAATATAGAATTAAATGTACAAAAACTGGAAGACCAAGTATAAGCAGTCTGCATTTGCTTCAGTGCTCAGTACTATCATAATGATCACAAAAACAAGAGTTCATGGATCTCAAGTATCTTCAATAAATGCTTGTATAATTTATGACTTTTGGCCCTGTTTCTTTAAGAGATACTTTTCTCAGTATTTGTGATTTAGCTCCAAAAGTCCATTTTGCTATTTCCTTGAAGTATTGAGTTAATTTCAAAACTTCTTTGTGTTTATCTTGATTTCTTAGTAATGAAAGCTGTGAAAATTAAAATATTTTCACAGATTAGCTTGGCAAGGATGAATGAAACTGACAGTTTCCATGACATTAATTTGGGGAGTGAAAGTTGAAACTGTCTTCTTGAAGGACATTCTGGCAATGTATATGAAAATGAAAAGCATGCATCCCTTTGACTATGACTAAGATATATGCAAAAGATCTACATACACAGGTATTCACTGATGTATTGTCTATAATAGAGAAAACAGGAAAAAAATCTAAATCTCCATCATCAGAATATTGATTAAAACATACATGTGGTATGACCATAAAATACAGTAGTATACAGTCATTAAAGATGATGGAAATATTGACAGAGAATGTTCTCCACCACATTGTTGAAAACAAAAATGATTTAATGAAAAACAAAATGGGGAGAATTTCACCAAAATGTTAACAGAATCTGGGGTGATGTTTGCTTTCTTCACATATTTTTTTATTTTGCTATCATTAAAGTACAATTACATGAACAACATTATGGTTATGAGACTCGCCCTATTATCAAGTCCCCACCACATATCCCACTACAGTCACTGTCCATCAGTGTAGTAAGATGCTATAGAATCACAACTTGTCTTCTCAGTGTTTTACTGCCTTCCCCGTGTCCCCCCCCACACACATTATACATGCTAATTGTGATTCCCCTTTTTCCCCACCCTTATCCATCCCTTCTCACCCATCATTCCCAGTCCCTTTCCCTTTGGTAACTGTTAGTCCATTCTTGGGTTCTGTGAGTCTACTGCTGTTTTGTTCCTTCAGTTTTTGTTTTCTTCTTATACTCCACAGATGAGTGAAATCATTTGATACTTGTCTTTCTCTGCCTCCCTTTTTCACTGAGCATAATAAATTGTCTATAATAGAGAAAACAGGAAAAAATCTAAATCTCCATCATCAGAATATTGATTAAAACATACATGTGGTATGACCATAAAATGCAATAGTATACAGCCATTAAAGATGATGGAAATATTGACAGAGAATGTTCTCCACCACATTGTTGAAAGCAAAAATGATTTAATGAAAAACAAAATGGGGAGAATTTCACCAAAATATTAACATAATCTGGGGTGATGTTTGCTTTCTTCACATTTTTTAAAAATTTTGCTATCATTAAAGTACAATTACGTGAACAACATTATGGTTATGAGACTCGCCCTATTATCAAGTCCCCACCACATATCCCACTACAGTCACTGTCCATCAGTGTAGTAAGATGCTATAGAATCACTACTTGTTTTCTCTGTGTTATACTGCCTTCCCCGTGTCCCCCCCCCACATTATACATGCTAATTGTGATTCCCCTTTTTCTCCACCCTTATCCATCCCTTCTCACCCATCATTCCCAGTCCCTTTCCCTTTGGTAACTGTTAGTCCATTCTTGGGTTCTGTGAGTTCACTGCTGTTTTGTTCCTTCAGTTTTTGTTTTGTTCTTATACTCCACAGATGATTAAAATCATTTGATACTTGTCTTTCTCTGCCTGGCTGATTTCACTGAGCATAATACCCTCTAGTTCCATCCATGTTGTTGCAAATAGTAGGATTTGATTTCGTCTTATGGCTGAATAATATTCCATTGGATAAAGATTCCACATCTTCTTTATCCATTCATCTACTGATGGACACTAAGGTTGTTTCCATTTCTTGGCTATTGTAAATAGTGCTACATAAACATAGGGGTGCATATGTCTTTTTCAAACTGGGCTAGTGCATTCTTAGGGTAAATTCCTAGGAGTGGAATTCCTGGGTCAAACGAGATTTCTATTTTTAATTTTTTTTTACTGTGTGCAAATTTAAAACTTTTTATGTATAACAAAAATACAAAAGGATGCTACTTAACACATATTTCAGAAAACCCCCAAATCTATCTAAATGTAAGAACTTTTTGATTTTGGAGTAATGCTCATAATAAAAATTTAAGCTTAATTTGGATATAGTTATGGGACTTCTATCCACTCCTAATTTCTATCCATTCTATTTTTTCAAAATTTCTATAAGCCCCTTGATCCAAATTTTTATTCTAATCACTATTTTTTTTGAGAGGGCATCTCTCATATTTATTGATCAAATGGTTGTTAACAACAATAAAATTCTGTACAGGCGACTCAATGCACAATCATTAATCAACCCCAAGCCTAATTCTCAACAGTCTCCAATCTTCTGAAGCATAATGAACAAGTTCTTACATGGTGAACAAGTTCTTCCATAGTAAATAAGTTCTTACATGGTGAACAGTGCAAGGGCAGTCATATCACAGAAACTTTCAGTTTTGATCATGCATCATGAACTAAAGCCTGGAGTTCCTCCCTCCTCCTCCTCCCACTCACACCACAGGGCAGGTACACTAGCATGAAGTAAGGGTAAACTTGATGTTTCTGTTCTATTGTGGAAGATTAAGTGGCTTTTTTAATTTAACAGTTATTATAAACATCATATATGATAGAGTATTCCACTGATTTAATGGACTACATCATTTCTAAAACAGCTTTATTTGAGATATAAGTCAGTACCATTAAAATGGACCTCCTTAAAGTATACAGTTCAATAGTTTTGATCTATTAACAGAGCTGTGCATTCATCACCACAGTCTAACTTCAGGGCGTTTCCATCACCCCCAAAAGAAACTGATTTCTCTTTTCCCACAGTCACTGGTGGCCACTAGACTCCTTTCTGTCTCTGTGGTTTTGCCTCTTCAGTAATTTTTAAACAGAATCTCTACTGCTGAGTGTTTATATTGTTCCTACATTTTTACCATTACTAACAAGGCTATGATGAACGTCTAATATATCCATTTTTATACTTTTGTCCAATTATATTCTTAAGATACATTTATAAAATTAGAATTTGTTTAATCAGAAATGTGTTCTTTTGTTTGTTTCCAAAGTCACAAAATGACATTGTTGAGGATACATTCTTCTCTTTGGTGTGCATGGAAAAATAGTCATATGGAGAAAATATTTGGTAATAATAACAGTAAGAAAGAGAGAAAATGTATATTTTATATCACACTTCTATGAACTTTAAGAAATATAGAATTAGATGTACAAAAACTGGAACACCAAGTATAAGCAGTCTGCATTTGCTTCAGTGCTCATTACTATCATAATAATTCCTAACACAAAAACAAGAGTTCATGGATCTCAAGTATCTTCAGTAAATGCTGGTATAATTTATGACTTTTGGCCCTGCTTCTTTAAGAGATACTTTTCTCAGTATTTGTGATTTAGCTCCAAAAGTTCATTTTGCTATTTCCTTGAAGTATTGAGTTAATTTCAAAACTTCTTTCTGTTTATCTTGATTTCTCAGTAATGAAAGCTGTGAAAATTAAAATATTTTCATAGATCAGCTTGGCAAGGATGAATGAAACTGATAGCTTTCATGACATTAATTTGGGGAGTGAAAGTTGAAACTGTCTTCTTGAAGGACATTCTGGCAATGTGTATGAAAATGAAAAGCATGCATCCCTTTGACTATGACTAAGATATATGTAGAAGATCTACATACACAGATATTCACTGATGTATTGTCTATAATAGAGAAAACAGGAAAAAATCTAAATCTCCATCATCAGAATATTGATTAAAACATACATGTGGTATGACCATAAAATGCAATAGTATACAGCCATTAAAGATGATGGAAATATTGACAGAGAATGTTCTCCACCACATTGTTGAAAGCAAAAATGATTTAATGAAAAACAAAATGGGGAGAATTTCACCAAAATATTAACATAATCTGGGGTGATGTTTGCTTTCTTCACATTTTTTAAAAATTTTGCTATCATTAAAGTACAATTACGTGAACAACATTATGGTTATGAGACTCGCCCTATTATCAAGTCCCCACCACATATCCCACTACAGTCACTGTCCATCAGTGTAGTAAGATGCTATAGAATCACTACTTGTTTTCTCTGTGTTATACTGCCTTCCCCGTGTCCCCCCCCCACATTATACATGCTAATTGTGATTCCCCTTTTTCTCCACCCTTATCCATCCCTTCTCACCCATCATTCCCAGTCCCTTTCCCTTTGGTAACTGTTAGTCCATTCTTGGGTTCTGTGAGTTCACTGCTGTTTTGTTCCTTCAGTTTTTGTTTTGTTCTTATACTCCACAGATGATTAAAATCATTTGATACTTGTCTTTCTCTGCCTGGCTGATTTCACTGAGCATAATACCCTCTAGTTCCATCCATGTTGTTGCAAATAGTAGGATTTGATTTCGTCTTATGGCTGAATAATATTCCATTGGATAAAGATTCCACATCTTCTTTATCCATTCATCTACTGATGGACACTAAGGTTGTTTCCATTTCTTGGCTATTGTAAATAGTGCTACATAAACATAGGGGTGCATATGTCTTTTTCAAACTGGGCTAGTGCATTCTTAGGGTAAATTCCTAGGAGTGGAATTCCTGGGTCAAACGAGATTTCTATTTTTAATTTTTTTTTACTGTGTGCAAATTTAAAACTTTTTATGTATAACAAAAATACAAAAGGATGCTACTTAACACATATTTCAGAAAACCCCCAAATCTATCTAAATGTAAGAACTTTTTGATTTTGGAGTAATGCTCATAATAAAAATTTAAGCTTAATTTGGATATAGTTATGGGACTTCTATCCACTCCTAATTTCTATCCATTCTATTTTTTCAAAATTTCTATAAGCCCCTTGATCCAAATTTTTATTCTAATCACTATTTTTTTTGAGAGGGCATCTCTCATATTTATTGATCAAATGGTTGTTAACAACAATAAAATTCAGTATAGGGGGGTCAATGCTCAATG